AGATATCCACAAAAAACACGAATTCTGGTTGATAACGCACATAAATACGTTTTTCACGGGCAGACAAACTGGCGATTTCTGTTTCAGTTTGTGCGCCCGTGAAAAACGTATTTATGTGCGTTATCAACCAGAATTCGTGTTTTTTGTGGATATGTGGTCATTGTCTTGACATGAAGCCCTTTAATGTTAAATAGCCCTGAGGAAGACTAAATATATAGTCGAAACGTAGGCTTTTTCAAGAAAATAAAGAGTTTCTGTTTACCGTCCCAAACCCGCTAAACTTGACACCAGTTTTCATAAACCAGGGACGCTAACGATAAATATTATATCAGACCAAATGTTTTTCTAAGACAATAGAAGTGTGATTAAACCATTCACGCTGCTGATAACCATGTCATTAAGATAACGTTAAAAAACACTAAGCTCCAGGAGACTTACAAGTGAAATTTGCGACTTGAATACACATTGGCAACATTAATTTAAAAAAATGGTGGACAATGATTGAAAATAAATGCCAAGACAATGAGAGAAAAATGCTCCGTTCATTCAACAAATTAATCGAACTACCTACCTTGATCAGTTTTAGTAGCAGGTTTCCAATTTTCAGCGCTGATAATTGGCAAGCAAACCTGCCCCTTTTCATCTATATTGGGGTGATATATTTTCGTCTTAAAGTTGATTTTCGGAGGTTTAAACGGATATTCTGCTGGAAAATTGATTTCTATTTTGAACGCCCCTTTGTTATATGGTGGACTATCCTGAAAACATATTCGCATTAATTCATCGGCTTTGAAACGCATCTTGGTTTACTTACTGGGACAATCAGGCCTTGCCAAGTCAAAATGTTGGTTTCATCCACTTGGATGTCCCTGAAGAACTTTAAGCCGGAATTTCTAATATCTCCCAACTCCTTGAGGAAAAAAAACAACACCAATGTTAATGACCGAGTAATAAGATTGGGGCGTACTGGTTCAAGGGGATAGAAATGACACATAAAAAGGAGCAAGAGACGCTTATTTTTAGAACAGACAAAAGACTCCGCATGGGTGATTTGCAGTTTAAAAATAGATCTGTTGGGATTTCTAAATACAAGTCAGAAAGCTATGAGAATAATGTGAACAACTATAGAAAAATTACTTACTTTTTGCAACCTTCTCGTAGCTGCCATTTTGTTTAAACGTTTTTCTTTGTCAAATAACCGATAAAATTATTGTTTGACTTGGATCAGGGGTGATGCCACTGAGTGTCTTGTTGATGAATTCAATTAAGATAATTTATTAAACACTTAAATTTGTTTCCAAAATGTTCATGATTTTCAATGATTAAACCTGTTTTGTAACTCTAATAAACTTCACTATACTGACAGGACAGTTGACTTGACATGAAACTTGATGATCTGAATTCGACGCTGCCACACTCATAGTCGGCACGTGTGACGTCCGTTGCGAGCAAAACAAATATTCCAGTTATTTAATAAAAAAAAAACCAATGTTTTGTTGGGATGCTTCTATTTATTCACTCAATTTAGGTAAACACTTGTAGGCCTTCAATACGAAAGCAACATAGATTTGGCCACTTCTGAGGCTTTCTCTTTGCCCACCAGTTTATCAACTATAACCAGGGCAAAATCAAAGGCTGTTCCTGGGCCTCTTGAAGTGATCACATTTCCATCCACAATTACCTTGTCTTCTTTGTACTTGTATTTTCCTAAAAGATCGAATTAATTCTGCAATACTTGACTAGATTAAGTGACTGTTACCTCCTTCTTCCATTTGAGCTCTCATTGCAGGATAACAAGTGATAGTTTTTCCTTCTGCAACATGATGAGCCTTTAGGGCGGTGGGCGCTAAAACGCTCGATTAGATGGTGTTCATATTTGCGCAAATGTCAGTGTTATACCGGCACAAATAGCTGCAATCCATCGTCCAGCCTTTTCCTGTTCCTTCAGCAATTCGCCAACTGCTTCCGACTCAGCCATAGCTTTGGATCCACCCAAACCTCCGGGGAGGACTAACACATCATAAGGCCCCTTTGCTTCAGACACTCCTGTAGATGCATTTTAAACATACAAACCCTTCCAATTACTTAATAAACAAAAACTTACCTATGTCAGGCTTTATATTCACATCTCTGCTGCACTTTACTACAGCGCTATCAGGCAATCCTGCTACAGTTACTTGAATCTAAAAGTATGCAATAATGCAGCAAGATTCATTGATGGGGGTTGATAGACTTACGCCTCCTCTTCTCAAGACATCAGCTGCTATTACAAACTCCATTTCTTCGGCTCCGGGCCCCAAGAACACCAGGGCGTTTTTGCTCATGTTGGAGGCGTTTGAGTACTTGTGAACGAAAGGTACACCGCTAGAGTTACTGTTAGAGCAAAATAGTATTAGCGTTAGTATAAGCAGGGCTTTGGGTGGCGATTTTAGAGTCATCCGCTGGAAGAGCACGTCTAATGGCAGCTGTCACACGCAGTTAAAATGAAAACGTTATTGATTGTTACCTGCTTATTAAAGATTTGCCTTCTTTTAGCACCAGCGTAGCAACTCGAGAAGCGCTTATCCACATAACCGGACATTTAGGACATCCCCTAACCTAACATTGCACTTTAACAACACCACAGAATATTCCCAAAGAATATAAGGAGGTTGATCAATACTGACAGAACTTTCCAGTCTTTTGGGAAGTATTATGGCGGTTGAGGGCTCATTTCACTTGTTTTAAAAATGGTTGTACAAATATCAAAAATAGATTAGAGTGGGAAATAAAGTAACAAAAATGTCTAGAGCTTTCAAATAATCGAAAAACATATCAAAACAAAGTGACCTAAAATTAAAATTAATTTATTAACGACATTAAAACGAAATGTTCTGTGGAAGTGTTATGTCGATTGTCAATTGTTGATGACATTGGTCAATTTTGACATTTTCCAGAATAACATAACCATACTTAGAGGCGAACCTGACACTTGTAGGAAAAATTTCGAATATTTTGCAAAAATGATAATTTATCGCTTTCCCGAATGAATTTCAACAATAGTTTAGGAGAAATTGATCGAAAAGGTCGAAGCAGTTACCGAGGATGCATAAAAGGTCGCAGCTTCACACCATCAATTATTTCAAAAATGAGGTGAGAAAATCTGTTAAAATTGTAGTTAATTTATAAAGATGTTAACTGCTGTGGGACTTTAAAGGTTGGAGTTCCATTGCCATTAGAATATGATTTGAGAAAACTGTGATCTGACCTTGGTTTTTGTTTAACTAGTTGATGGTGTAATGTTTAAGTGTTTAAATATTGCTAGAGAAGATTCACTTTTATGAGGCGATCAAATGTACTAGCGAAACTATAAAAATACTTTATGACTAGTCAGTAGTATATGACTTCAAATATCTGTTTAAGTAGGTTACTAATCAATTTATGTACGTTTAGTGGAAGAAAATCGATACCAATTGCTAATGGTAAGCTGTTCAATCTAGTTACCTAACTTATATTATTGTACATTCAACAGGTTTTATTGTGGCAAACACTTTGTATTCTCATGAATTAATGTATAGTGTGTTACATCCAATATACATACTAGCTTGTAACTTATGCTTCATTCGAAACTCCTGTTTCATTCAACCTCATACTTATGTAACTACATTCGAAATTTACCAGTCACACTATTTTTTTCTGCTTACATGTATAAATAAATTTATAGTACACTTTGAGCCATGTGTTCATCATTCGTCAAATCTGAATAAGTGTATGCTAAATAAGTACAGAAAGTTTTTTCAATAAGCTTTTCAAAGGTACCTACCAAGGTTTAATTAATTCCGACCTCAAAAGTACGTTGCCGTTGTCCGTGAAATTGCTCAATAATGTTAAATGTAAAAAATGAGTCATTTTTTCTGTATTTATGAATGTTTTCTGGTCCATCAATTCTTTGAGATATGTTTATTAATATTTGAATCTCCTTCGTGCTTCATGTTGCAAATTTTCAATTGAAATGTTGTTTCTCAGGTTTTACTTATGCTGCTGCGGAACGTTGGTTTTTATGAACCGCACGTATATATTGTTTACGACATTTTAAAACTAATATTAATCCTCCCTGCCTTAAAAGGTTAAAAAGGAATTTAAAAAAGTGTTAAAAACGATCACCCAGAAATGTGAATATTGCTTGTAATCCTGCATGGGAAATAACGGGTATTTCGAAGATATTTTATAAAAAATGATTAATATCGAGCGGCAATGTGTTTGCACCGATAATTACAATAAATACTAGAATGAATGATCATTGAGCCTCGGCGTCTTGTAAACAGATTGTAAATTTTAGGCATTATCGGATACTTTTGGGGTCGGAATTAATAAAACTTTGTTTGGCACCATTGAAAAGCCAATTGAAAATGTTTTCCGGTGATGTATTGCAATCTTACTCGTGCTATTTACAAAAATGATCCCGGTGCTTAAAAATACACTAAATTGTCGCCCCACAATATTATAGTAGACGTTACCATACTTTTATTGGCATTTACGCCTTTAAAAAACTTACCCTGTATATTGCCGATTGCAAAAACCCATTCCATAACTCAAATTAAAAACAAATTTATGTTTTCATTCGCGCCATAAAATTTCAAAATATTTAAAAAGCTTCATATTGTTTGTGAATTATTAATCTTTAACTTACGTAAAAATACCATCCCCACTTCATTGTTCTAACGCATTTTATGTGAATTCATTGTGTGAGAGTGATCGTGTGACATGAAGGTAGATTATTTTTATTAATTTTAAGCCATAAAATTAACCATTAAAAGTATGTACTTTCATTAAAACGTCTGTTTTAGCTTGAGGTAAATTGGAAAAATTTAAGTACGTGGATTGTTAGTTTATGTTAATTTTTTTAAATTATACAACTCAGGTGTTCAGTTTTTGAAAAAATCTTAAAATGTTGTGTATAGTGATTTCAATTACAAAGTGGTATGTTCCATTGAGTGATAACAATTTAATTGCAATAAGTAAACAAATCCTAATAATTTAGCTCACTGAATCAAATCAATTAAAGTACGTGTGAGGTTTGTCAAATATGTGATAATAATACTGTCGGATAATGAACTGAACGCGATAATATCGCTATTGTTTTGGAGAGTAATGAGTTGTGTAATTGTATGTGGTTTTTGAGCAATTTCACTATAGGTTCTCTATTAAATTATTTTTCTCTTGTTCATCTGCATGGTCATAATTCTAATGTACAGCGAGATATACGGATGATTTATCGCCAGCGAATTTTGCGGTCTGTCTGCTGTTTTTGTAGAAAATTAGACGGGTGGTCGATGTAATTGAATATTTGAGTGTAATTTTCAATACTGATTAACTTTGATTGTCAAAAAAAGATACTTTGCTCTCAAGCCAAATTTACATTTTTGGAAAACCTCGTATGCAACAGACAATTTTTTAATTTCCAGTTGCATTTTAGGCTTTAAACAACAAGCAGCTGAAAAAAGTTGTATTTATACAACTTAAGTAGACTATTTATTAAGTTATTTGGCTGTGTCTTCGTTTTCTGCAACCAGATATGTATCATCTGCTAACTATTTAAGAGGAGGGAGCTTTAAACCTCCCCATTAACTGTTTTATATCCTTTAAATTCTAGAGCATTTTTCTTTCAACGTGCGTTTATGATAACATTTAACTACTGTATTGTTATGGAAATTTTACCGTAATTATGTATTGAATTTCATATTCCTAATCTATATTTTCATAATATCGATTGAGTTTTGAGTCATTTGTTTGTTGTAGAGGAAATCATGCCTCCTTAAACTGCACTCGGTCAAAAACTTTTCGTCAATAGAACCTAAGCAAGATTAGATTAGACTTATGATATTTGACGGTTTTTTATTGTTTAATAAGGAAAACTGCATCGGTTTTGCATATTTTTGAGCTGGATTAGCTTGTTAACCTTCCAAGCGCAAGCCATATTCGTTTTCCTGCAAGATTCTTCGAAATGTTAAGAACGTTAGTGCTGCAGTTATTTGGAATCTTCTTGACTTACTTTTTAAACATAAGATTATGATGTTTTTCGCCATTTGTCTGAAATTTTATACGTTAAAAATACTACAGTTGAAAAAAAATTTTAAATAACTTTTTCTTCAATTTAAAAAAAATGTTTACTCACCACACGCTTTATTTTAGTAATAAGCTCGCATTTTTCATACCGTTCCCTAAGATATTGATAGCAGACTATTTTTATGTGACTGGTTTTTAATCTCTTGTTTGTGACCTATTTAGGAAAATTTTCTGTGTCTTTTTTGTTGGTCTGACTAATGATGTGGTTCATTTCGAATCTGTTTCCAGTTTTCATAAGCATCCGCATATCCTATATTTTATTTTTATATTTATTATTTTTTTATTGACAAAACAAGGAGGTTTATTCAGCTGTTTAGTATGAACTCAGTTTGCGATTGAACTTTCAAGAACTGTTGAGCTGGCGTGTTTTTTCAAGAAAAAACACTGTTTTGGTCCCACATTCAATTTTAGTTCTTTTCACTTAGGTACCTTATTACACAAAAATTAATGCAAATTATTGCTTAGAGCAAACATCAGTCTCCATGCAAATACTCTAAAAACAGCTTTGGAATGCCATCATCAATATACGCATTTATCCGAAATTAGAAAAACAAACACAATTAAGCTAAATTGCCGCGTAGTTTGAATCCTAACATGACCCCACAAGTTATTTTATCTGGACGTGATTGTTATTTTCATAACTTTAGTTGCTTTTGGCTTGCTGAAGTCTTGTGATTTAAATTTCAGGAAAAGAAAGCCAGGATAATCTACCCCTTATTGTTGTCCGCACTGGCTACTCTATTTGCATCCTACTTGATATTACGAGAGCTAGAATGGGAAGAACACGTCTCAATCCGGAAAGGGGTCTGCTTGTTCACAAGTGGTTTACTGTTTTTCCCTTGCCTGTTTCTAGCATTGAACAATATCCAGATTCATACACATAAGGGCCGGAAGTTTATTCGCTCCTTCAAGCTCCGATATAGCGACGTGTATGATATTAGTAACAAGTAAGTGGATGTGAATGTGCGATGTAATTTTGTTCGCGAACCTTTTTTGGCTGTTCTAGATTGGTTTCAGCTGTGCAAGCCGTTTTCTGTTGTCTCACTGGGCTCACATCAATACAGTACTCATGTACCAGGAATATTTTAAAAACGTCTCATTACATATCGGAGGCATACGCTTGGTTTGGGGCTGCTTACTTTTTTTACGATGTTTGGTCAATGTATAAAGTGTGGAGCGCAAAGGTAACCGTCTAAGTGTGCAGCTTTTTTCTGGAGTAAATTACATTTTCTCCTCGCAGGTAACCCAGCAGAAATTGGAAGGAGTCAAGAATCAAATCCTACTAAAAATTATGAGGCTGACGGCATATCTGACTCAAAATTTTATGATAGTATTTCATCATGTATTCATTGGGTGTTTCGGATTTCTGGTAATCACTGTGAGTATCGCAAGGGTGCATCTAAAGAAAATTGGTGTAATTTTGTTTATATTCTTAGTATCTCCGAGGAGGGCTTGGTGACTGCTTCTTCGGTTACATCTACCTCATGGAGTTTAGCACCCCGTTTGTGTCTTTCAGAGGGATTCTGTCCAAAATTGGCTTAAAGAAATCTAGATGGTAAGTTTGAAGTCTCATTTAGAGTCTTAGAACTTTAATTGAACGTGAAAACTGTATTATTATAGAATATTTACAAAGCTTTTTAAAGGTTTTTATAGGGTTTTGGCGTCATTTCTAACCACTCCACAAGCTCATGAAGTTTAACGGCTCTAAAGTAGCACAAGTTTACTTCTGTCTCTAGGATAAAACCTCTAAATTAGAGCAATTTGTTTTTTTAGACGCTAGATCAAAGACGACTTAATGCGTTTCCAGATGCTTAAGCTATTTTCAAGAAAAAAGTCAACAGTTTCTTAAAATTTAACATTTATTTTCATAGATTTATGAGTTGGGGATTTCCGGTAATGTGTAATTAGCGGAGAGTAATTAGACAATTTACAAGATTTCTGATAAATCGTAATCAGAGAAGGAAAGGCTCCTAGTTGTTTAAAGTTAAAATTTAGTTGCTTAAATTTCGCAATTTTTGCATTTATCTCTTCAGAAAACATTTCTGTCTGCACAGAGAAATTAAATTATAGAAAAGAAACATAGAAAAAGAAAACAAAACATATAATAAATTAATTTTGAAAATTAGAGAAATTATTAAAGATGAAAGCAAGGATGATATGGTCATTAAAAATCAACTCTATGTGGAAGTGCTTTATGTAGGAATTAAATACTGGAGTCTTCTGAACGATCGAGATAACGACGAGAACGGCATTGTTGTATTTTGATTTTTTGCACTGTTTATTATTATTATTATTTGTTGTTATATCAAGAAATGTCTAGTGAACGTTTATCAAGTATTCAAAATGAATAAAGATTCGCACCGTTTACTAAAAGTATTTAACAAGTTTTCGCCTAAAGCAGTTTTATTCAGGAGTGGAAACGCTAAAGAACTAAATACAATACTTCACTAAACTGTTTGTTTTAAGTTTAAGCGCGTTGTGTTATGATTTTATGTTTTTCTTTCGCAACATTAGATGAAAGTCCATAATGTGTTGAAAAGAATAACGCGATTTTTTGTTACATACTTGTACGGTTTTTGAAATATGAGCTAAAATCTATGCAACGGTTAGGGAGAATGGTCTAATTTTGAATTTTAATATTTTCTGAAAAATACGCCAATCTTCGATATTTATATTTTCTGGAAAAAGGAAAACAATTGACCATACAATGCTTTACATGAATAACTAGCGTGATTTAACGCTCTGTTTTCTACAAAAATATGGAGCTCTGTAGCTATTGCGCTTTTTCAAATAGAAATAGAAATAGAAAATAGAAATTAATTTTGGGTTTTTATATTTTTATGGGAAAACCGAAAAGAATTGAAATTCATGTTTTAGTACAATTTAATACTCTTTTTATAAGTAAAATAGTAAGTTTTGTGACTCTTACAGCTTTTAAAATATGAGCTACAAACTTTGGGAAAAAATGGACTAATCTTGAAATTTGATATTTTCTGAGAAAACCGAAAATTGAAACGTACTTTGACATGGAAAAAAAGCAATTTTAATGCTCTACTTACGAATTAAAAGTGAGCTTTGCGGCTCCCAGGTTTTTCAAATTTAAGCAAAAACCTAAGCAAAATTTGGCGAGAATGAATTAATTTCGAATTTTACAATTTTCTGGGAAAACCAAAAACAATTGAAAGTTATGTTTTACATAAAATAATAGCGCAATTTAATGTTCTATTTAGAAATAAAAAAGTGAGCGCCATCGCTGTTATGGTTTTCCAAATATGAGCTGAAAACTGCCCGACATTTGGAAAAATTGCCTGATCTTAGATTTTTATATTTGCGAAAACCCAAAACAATTGAAAGTTATATTGTCGCAATCGCAAATAAGAAAATAACCTCTGTAGATCTCACGGTTTTTCAAATATGACTTAAAAACTACGAGACTTTTGGGGAAAACTTGAACTTGACTAACTTGGATTTTCTGAGAAAACCGAAAGAATTGTACAAGATTATACAAAAATTCGATAATAATTTAGGAAGTTCTACGACTTCTTTTCTACGAGCTCATATTTCTTTATTTATACTCAAGGTATGTAGTAAATGGCTTGGCAATGCTGATCACATTTTTCATCTTTCGAGTGGCAATGTTCCCCTATGTGGTCAACCTATTTGCGCAGTCAATAAACGTTGATTTTTTTACGGTAAGTGGCATGGAAGTTGAATGGTTGCGATTTGCATCTACAAATTGTTTTCAGGCTGTGAAAAAGCTGCCGAGGAATTGTCTGATAAGCATCAGTCTGTTACTATTCCCGCAAATTTATTGGTTTCTACTGATGGCAAACGGAGCGGTTCATGTATTGTGCATCAAAGAAAAGAGTGAAAAATTGGCCGAGAACAACAATTTAAAGAAAAAAACACGATAGGCTTGAAATGCCAAGATTAGACCTGTGGATGTATTCATCCGAGTTCAAGATGGAAATGTCTGTTTTTATTTATAGAATTTAGCGGTGGCTGTGATTTTTTTCTTTTTTATAGTCGAAATATTACGTCGATTTGCTCTTATGTATTTACATACGAAGAAGCTTAGATTGATTTTTAGACGAATGTGTAGCCAATGTACTTTCAGATTTTTGTGTCAAAAATGGTTTTTTAATGTGTTAAATTGCACTCAAATTGCTTAAGCGTTTCTAATATCACGTGCATTTTAAACTAACATCTAAATAGGAAGCCGGGGTATCTGTTGATGATCAAATGATTTTCTTACACATATATTTATCTGGTTAACTAAAGGCAAGTTGAAGCGTTAGCCTATAAGTAAGACTGATAAATGACTGAACACGTTTGGGTGCGCTAAAAGGGTTTGGTGATTCATAACTTAAATAACCGAAAACCCATAAAAGCAACCCGCTTTCTCTTTGATACCCTACGCATGTTAAGTATATATCTTCCGGCATAATATTTGTTATTAATCTCATTACTGACAATCATGTATGTTAATTTTTAGGAAAAGTGTGCGAACATATGCAAAAGGTTTAATTTCCATAGTCCTTGACTATACTTCCAAGATTGTTGTTTACTTTTACCGAATTTTAGAAATGTATTTAAATTTATTACATTGTCGTCTGTGTAGGCAAGAAAGTATTATTTTTGCACATTTTATTTGATTGCATCCAAAACTACGCACTGCATTGACTTAAATTCTCTAGCCATTTTAATTGCATCATTATGTGACTTAACAATGATTTCGAAGTGCAGTTAAATGCCTTCGAAAGGAAACTAAGCAGTTTTAGCTCTAAAATGTGGTTGTACATCACAACTTAGAACAGATCAGAACTATGAAACAAAATATATTTTCGCGAATTTTCCAGCTATACTGCATATATTTTTATAAAGTAATTGTGACCGATACTCAGATTAGAGTTGATGAGTTATTACACTGATATATTAAAGAAGTTTTAAAACAGTGTTACATCAGATCGTGCAAAGGGTTCTCACTTGTGTGTCTTCATTATTTAAGCACCCAGATCATTCGTTAGTGCATGTAAAGGACCCCTCACTGACTTGCACGCTTTAAATGTTATAAATGTATACATAGTAAGTGAATTATTTGGGTGAAATATTGTGTACATTGTAAGTGAAATAAGAAATTTTAATAGTACAGTTACTATAGGTAGGTTTTAATGACTCTTTTCTAGTGACTGTAATTTAGTGGTTTTTGAAACAATTTCAGAAACACCTAACACATTATGCGATTGCTTTATCTAAATGGACATTTAAAGTAAGTTGTACAATTACGTTATTATAAGTTTTCCTTAGAGCAAGAAAGGTTATTATTAATTAATGAAATTATAACAGTTTTTTTTTAATTAAATTATTTGGAAGCTCTTTAGGTTGGATCAGGTAAACAGCAAGCGACATTTTAAATATTAGGAAATTTTATAAGCGAAAACAATTTTTTGTTTGTTTCAAACCAAGTGGTTTTGGTCAAAATATGTAAGGTAAAAAATGGTAAATGTGTTAGGTTTGCTATTAAAATTTGTTTTTTTTACATAAAATTTTATTTTGTGATGTCTAGGAAATATTTCTTACAGTAAATATGTTGTTATTAGAAATTGTGTCAATGTACAAAATAAAGGAGCGGATTGATCTCGGAACAATGCTTTTATTATTTAATACCAATTTTAAAAAATTAGTATTACAAAGCACTCATCAAATTTATCTGCTAATTTACTGCTACTTACATAAGTTTACTAAAGGAAAACTGCAATGGGGAAGCTTACCGTTAACTGTATTTAGAGCTTGTTTTGTGAAACATTATTCCAATAGTTGAATCATTATTTAATTATAAAAAGAATAATGCAAAAAGTAATATTTGGCAAATTATATGCAAAAACATTGCAATCGTTTGCAAACTTTCCTTAAATTATCGCAGCATTTTCCAGACAAAAACTAGGTACCTAAATAATGTTTAAGTTTAAACTATTTCTATTTTTTATTAACTAGAATTATTCACCTTTCTCGCTATCTTCGGTGATTACCTCTATATTTTTTGCGTTAATTGATCCGGTTTCATTGGAAAATGTTGTTGAAAGCTTTGCAATATGCTGGACTGCTTTAAATCTCGTATGCGCTCGCATCTTTTCAACTTTTTTCTTCCACTGAAATAATGAAGAATTTTAATCGGTAAAAAAATTACAACAACCCAGGCTTCTGCGCCGTTGCCAATCCGTACTTTCTTATATGTCAATTCTCGTCTTTTTTTCAGCCTTTATCCACGCCTGGCTTTGTCTGAAGCCCACATTGACATACTATACTAAAGGCCGGTTGCACAATCCAAGTTCAGCGGTGAACGTGGTTCAACGAAAATTTCAACACGGGTTGTGCTTGATTGACAAACATAGTTGCCAATCAAAGTATACAATCTCACATTTTACCGAGCTTTGGAAGCGCCAATCTTTGGAAGAAATTGATTAGTCCAGTTCAACTGAACCGAGTTCCGAACGGCGTAGTACAACCCGTGAATAATTGAACTCGGTTCAGCGGTGACTGAGGGTTTAGCTGACCCATCGTTGAACTTGCTTTTGTGCAACCGGCCCTACGTTTGGCGATTTGGTGACACGCGTCCGGTAGTTGGCGACACCGGGCTTCAAATACGGTATTTTCAAATGGCTTGCACGGTAATCCGCATTTGAGAGGTTTGCCACCCTGGGTTACCTCTGGGCAATTGCATGTATTCATTGTTTCATGGAGTTATAGTTTGATAATCTGTGTGAAGACTGAGTTGTCAGTGGTCAGACACAGTCTTTATCTATGGACACAGTGTATACATTGTTTTGTGAAGTTTAAAGGAAATTCAGAATTTTTTAAGAATTAAAGACTGAAAATGTTATTGTTTCGGTTCCAGATCAAGAATCTTTTTATCGGTAAGTCAGTTTTATTCGAAATCATACCACACATAACTTCTAAAGAAGCGAAATTTTAGGTTAAGCACACACATTTCATATGTCCGCTGGTGTCTCCGGCCCCCCAAAACCACATTTTTCGATATGGCACTGGTATTTCTTTTCCAAAAATGCAATAAATTAACCTTAAGTTTGCTTAAGGTTCCCTGGCTGGCCCATTGTATTGTCAAAATTCATTAATTCAAAGAAAGTTTGCTTAAAGTTTCCGGGTTTTAAGCGAACTGTACACTTACCCCTTCGTCCCTGGACGGCATGCCAATCAAATATTCGTTAATACTATTTTTAAGCGGGTCGAGAATTGCCAAAACCGACACACAACCATCCACTGTACCTAATACCAAAGCATTCCCATCAGGAGTGCTTTCTACTGATGTAAGTTCGGCTTGGACTCGATAGTTTGCAACCATTTCAGCATCATTAGTCCTACAAATAATTTCAATATGCACAGCCCCAGATTGTCAAAATCTAATTTTTGGTAATTGTTTAGATGATCAGAGCTTGGCACGTCTCTCCCTAACACGTGTTCGCTGTTGACAATCACTTCATAGAAAATCTCTGTACAGGGAACGTGTTAGTGGTGTTTTTTTGCGGAAATGTTTTAGAACACTTTTTATACATGACTTCCACGCATTTAGTCGACAAGTATTGAGCATTGTTCTATTATTCTCGATTAAACAAGAGTCGTAGGTAAGATTTTCTATAAAGTGAGCATATTGTTGAACAACTGTGACCAACTGTGAACGCGATCGCCTGATTACCTGAATAATTACCAAACTTTTTCCCGGCTATTTCACGGAAAGTGCTTATTCTACCTGAACACCCTTAGAGTTTTTCTGCCACTGTGGTAATACAAAACATACTCATCGGTTTTGTTAAAGACGCAAATTATCGTGAAAACCCCTTCTGCCACTTTGGGAATGTAGGTCTTGACAGTTGTTCCTTTTTTCAACTCTATAAGCTCCAAACCACCCCTACAATTAAATGTTTTTATAAGCTTTAATGTTGTTGTCCTGTTCGGGTTCGAAGAACTATCTTTTTATTGCAAATTCGTTAATAAGGGAAGTTTGAAACGAAAACTTTCGGTACTGCATCGTATTGGCCCAAAAGCGCCTGTACTAAAAGGGTTTAGTTTTGGAACACAATGTAATTGAAATTTTAAAATTTAATTAGCATTAAGTAGTCATTATGAAGATTTTTAGGTGATTATTGGAAATATATTTCAGACCTTAACAATTAATAACTTTTGCGAAAAGCGGTTCATTTTGTATTGGTGCGTTTTTCGCCCGAAAATAATCAAGAATGTTCCCTCAGTTTCGTTTAAGGAAGATGAATTAGAGCTCCTTTTGGAGTATAAAGGTTACGTTGCCTCCTAGTTGTACAGGCGAGTTTTGCGTGTTTTCCGCCTAAAGATCAATCATATTTCAACAGTCTTGTTTCCAGAAGATGAATTAGCGCTCCTTCTTCTGAGCCTGGTGTTCGCGTTGCCGCCTTTTGTATTTTGGCTAAATATTCACCAAAGTGTCAAGAATATTTCGGCAGTCTTGTTTACTGAAGATAAATTAGAAATTTTCCTCTTTGAGCATAAAGTTGCCGTGGAATTTCATGGTGGATAGCTCCATTTTATTTCATTATGGACAAGCTTTCAAAGATAATTGAGAAAAGTGAACGACAATGGCAGAAGATCAATTATAAGTCTTATTTATAGGAGGTGAATTAGAGCTTTCTTCTTTGAGCCTAAGCGCCTTTTCACCCGGGCCACTCTGCAGCGCTTCTCAGTGGCGCTACTGAAGGTACATTGATTATCTGGAGCTATTCAAACGGGCGCGAACGAGGTCCGAACACCGATTTAGCAGCGCTTCTGTGGCGTTCAGTGGTTGACTACCGCCGAGAAGCGCCACTGATGGCAATACATTGGTTCAATGGTTCATTGGTTCATGGCAATACATCACTTTAGTCTACTTCAGGTTAACGTGCGCTTCTCAGCAACGCCACTGTAAAATGGCTCTAAAGCTCGCATTAGTTTCGTAGATGTGCAGACGAGCTTTGGAAGCTTTTACATCAAAGAAGCTTGTGGAAGGTGGATTCGAGCTTGTCTCTTTGAGTCTAAAGTTTGCTTTGCTATTTAATCTCGGTAAGCCAGCTTTGGCAAATTTTCCATGAATTTCTACGATAAGTTTCGTTTCCAACAGACGGGCTGAGGAAAAATGTGCACCTAAGAGTCAAGAATACAGTCTTGTTTATAGACGATGTATTACAGGTCCTCTCTTTGAGCCTAAAGTTTGCTTTGATTTCTAAGATTTACGAACGAGGTTTGGAAGCTTTTACATCAAAGACATTTCACGATTTTTCCCAATAATTTCCTTTAATTAAAGCTTGTCTCTTTCAGCTTAAACTTCTCTTTGTCCTTGTAAGGTGGGCAAGCGAGGTTGCGAAGATTTTTCAAGAATTTCTTCATTAATCTTTTACGTCAAAGACATTTCACATTTTTTTCCCTGAATTTCCTTTAATTAAAGCTTGTCTCTTTCAGCTTAAACTTCGCTTTGCTCTTGTAAGGAGGGCGAGCCAGCTTTGCAAGAGTTTCCATGAATTTCTTCGTCGATTTTCTTTACGAAAAATAGGGCTTGACGTTGTCGTTGGCTTCTAGGTTGGATAGACGAGCTTTGGCAAATTTTCCACCAAAAGATCAAGAATACAGTCTTGCTTATAGAACGTGAATGCTATGTGGTGTACAGGCGAGGTTTAGAAGCTTTTTTTTCAAATAAACTTTACGATTTCTTCTCGGAATTTCCTCTACAGGAGATGAATTAAAGCTGGTGGTTTTCGGCATAAAATTCCCTTTGCCTCCAAGGATACTGTTTTATTAAACTCTAATGCTTACCGTTGTGGAGCATACAGTCCATACTTTCCGTCTTTAGTCACACTTCCACCCCATTTTGGAATCGACCTTAGATGTTTTTTATTCCTGATGTCTATAATGGCCCCTTTGTCCGTAGCCATGACCGCTACAAGGTGGCCTTTATGGGGCATTGCAACCAAACCGGCAATGTCCTATAAAATGTTTTTTTTTTTACTTTTTGCTGCTCTGGTTGGACATTTCCTACCTTTATCCCGCACATTTTCAAAGGTATTCTTTGAACCAAATTCCCGTTTTGAGCGTTATAAGTCATGATGCAATCTCTGTTGGTTTTATCTGCCGCTGAAATAACCAAGTGCTGATTATCCGAGGTGACTACTGCTTTTCTGAATGGTACCCCCGTTATGCTACGCACCGGGTATTCAAAAGTATAGAGCTTATTGCCACCTGGTTTGAGTTAACGGATCAGTAATAATAGCAAAAAAAAACAACTTTTATTGGCTTACTTGGCACCTCTCGTACGCACGCAGTGGCTGTCGTTCTCACAAAGTCTGTTCCAGGAGGATTATTGGGCTTGGAAATGGACAATATTTTAGTGCCATCATCTATTAGAGTGAGCTGCTTAATGCCAAGCTGTTCATCTTTGAATATCACTTGTTCAGTTAAACGAAGCCAAATGAGAATATTGCCGGTCTCTGCAGAAATTATATACCTGCCAATAGAAGTTCCTAACTGGTAAATCATACATAGAAAAAATTACTCACTTTCCATCGGGGGTGATAATCGCATGGGTTACAATAGCTCCTAACGGACTATCTGCTAGTTTTGCCATCAATTTGCCCACTCTTAAGTCCCAAACTCCCACACAGTTTCTTGTTGCGGTCACAGCTAAGCTCAAGTTGTCCGATAAGCTGCAATGGTTTATTATTAAACGGGTTGATACGAGGAACCCTTTTACCCCCATTTATGTGAGAACTGCTCCAAAACAACCGCCAAAAAACTGAGTTTTTTCCTGGCATTCTACATAAGATGTGTCGAATAGTTTTAATGTATGTGTGGCAAGAAGGCAGAAACTCTACACATTATGCCGCATTCATATGATCTAACAGTTTCGTTTGGTTTAAAAAAATATTTGATACACGCGTGTTTTTTACCAATGAATGTGTTATTCACAGACAATTAGACTTTTACAGACAGAAAAACTGTGCCTTTTTGCAATTTATAGTAAAGGTAGCGTGATTTTTTTGATTACGCTTTTGTAACAACGATAATTTTATTTTCACCAAAAAATTGCGTTGTTAAATTTGGAAAAACTTTGATAAAATTTTATTGCTGCAAGCAATTTGATTTCTGTTTGAAGCGTTATTTACTCCACTTATTTTTCTGTCCGTCTGTGATTGAAGTGAAATTGCGTACAGGGTGGACAGCAAAACAATGCAAATTTTCTGAGTTTGGCATGCTCCCAGTTGAAGAAAAAACGGATTATTTGAAAGTAAACTCCACTTTAATTGATTGTCTGCCATATTTCGAGGGAAGTTCTCATTTGGATTATTTATTGTATATTGTATATATGAAATGCTATTACTGCAAGATCAAAAAGTTGATTTTTTGCGAACACCCTGTAAATAAAAGAGGTAGGTGTAAAATTCAAAAACCAATTTGATAAATGCGGTCTATATTTATACATTTTGCATGTTGAAAAAGTAGATAGTAGAAAAGGGCCTTAACAGAAATCACTTGGGACATTTAACATGGAAAGAAAAGTTATTTATTTAGTACACGATTTATAATTTAGAATTGCAATTTCAAATCGTTTTCAACATTTTTCTACCATCTACCAAGTACCATTACTAGGGATGCGAGGAACTTTAAAATTTAAATATTGCAATAAAGACTGTCTTCTACTAAGAAACTTTTTTTTTCGAAAATTATGTATAAACATGAATAATTGTTATAACTGGGCGATGATGAATAATATTAATGAGTTCTAATTTCGAGTTCCAAAGAAAAGCCGCAAACTAAATTTCGTTCATTATGTTGTAGCTCTATAAATAAATAAAAAATCGGTTTTTCAAATTTTTGAACTGTTTTTCAAAAACCGCTCATTTCTGCATTCGACAAATGATGTTAAATCATAATGGTTTTCCCTAAGGAATGTGTGATAATATTTTGTACACACATCCTGTATATTATCAGTGTTGGTTAATACCTTATAGAATCCACTTGCAACTCGTGTCGATCGATTACATGGACTTGTTCAAAGATGTTGTTGATGTTCCATACTTTGACCGTTCGGTCAATGGACGATGTCACTATGCTATTCCAATTTCCCACAGTTAAAGGCTCCAATTGGATGATTCTACCGAAATGAGCGTCCAAGATTTTCACTAGTTTTTTTGTATCGATGCTCCATACATACAGGTTCTTTCTGATAATGTACCAAAATTTGAGATGAGCTTCAATAATAATATCTTAGAGAAAATTAATCGTCCCGATAATGCACTTACACCATTTCATACAAGATGCAAAAGAGTATATTTTGCTTAATTTTCCACTTTCCTACCTGACACCTGCTATAGCATAGTTCTTGTGCCCGCTAAGCATTATGGAGTTTGAATGCATCATTTTCGTAACGATGTTTCGAGTACCATACGGTAAAGTTAGAACGATTGCGCTGCTGTCATCCAACGGCCCCTCTTCACTAAAGTCCCATATCACAAAGCCGTTGCTCGTAGTGCCTGTGAAGAATAAATCCAATATTCAGTTAGTCCAAGTAGATTCTCGATAATCACCAAATAGGATTTGGTCGTGCTGGTCCAATTTCAGCTGCAAAATAGCTTCAGTCGCATCTTTAGCGCTTCGCGGCAGGTCACATTCCTTATCCCAACATTTGCTTGCAATATTTCTGCAATACTTTGAAACACCATAGACTCCATCTGTGGTGCATGTGTATAGAGTCGACTTGTCTTTGGTAAGAACCACAGCACTGAGGAAGTCATGTGAAATAAACTTATGCACCTCTGTTTCAATTTACCTGTGGAAATCCAGCATGGCATAGTCTCCCTCTTCAGCTTTATAGAGCAGCTTCATTCTGGCGTCATCTAGGTTGTCTTTCCAGAAGATCAGTCTGCATTCTGCCTTATTGTCCCACTCTATCACTGAAGATTAAAATGCGGCAATGATTTGGTTTTGCGTTAAATTAACCAGTAAATTTGAAGCCCTACTTAGAATCGGCCAAGTGTCTTTCTCCAACGGACTGTGAAAGTCTTCCTCCCTGTTGCCTCGCATGTCGAACTTCACCCAGGCATCAACACCATAAATGAATATGTTGTGGTTCAGCAAATATACTCCTGTAACACTGCTGCCTTCTTCCAAAGGATTTTCAAAAATGATGAATTCGCTGGATAGCATGTTTAATAAAACCGTCTACAAAAATCCTACTAAGAAACAAATTGATTCTCTTTCAACGATAAGCATTTACTTGGTTATTGTTCGTGTAGGCGGCCGCCCATTTATTATCCGGGCTAAGCACCAAGTGCTGCATGATTCCTTCAATGTTAGGATTAACATCTCTGGTCAAGTCACTAGTAGATAGATCCCAAGTAATAAATCTATTGCTCACTGAAATGATGTATCGATAGTCTGAGGTGAGGCAAATAGAAAATACTGCGAACTGATGCCCCTCGAGTGAATACTGCAATGGGCAAGTCAATGAGTCTGTATTAGAGCGGGAATTTATTACCTTTAAAGGCCCTCCCGGTGTGTGCAAACAGTGATATAGAGGAAGAAGCGCACAATGGATTGGTCCCTTATAGTCGCAATCATTGAGCAACATTTTCACATTAGGGTTCTGGGCTACTTCGGGTAAAAGTCTGCCTATTAGCTGAGGCGCTAACATATTAGGGTACGGTCCTAAGACAGCGCCTCCTAAGCGCAGTGCATCCGCCACTAACATAAGTTCTCTAAGACAAACCAGCTGTTAAAAATATAATTTTTAATTGTTTCTAGTTGCTTGTTGAAGTTTCATTTACTTCTTGCTCATTTATGATTTGCATTGAAGTACAAATTTTCTGTATTTTTTTAGGAATCGTTTTATTAATTATTTAAGGTTTCGATTTTGAGTGGTCAGGGTATCTCTATTCTATTTTGGTCAGAAGTGTTCAGAATTTCGGTTTAAAAATTTTCTTTTTACTGCTCAATCTTCAACCTTTAGGTTTAAAACTTTCAGAAGATTGAAGATTCAAAAATGGTCACATTTTTTGATCAAAATTAATCCGAAAAAGCTTCTAGTTTTTAAAGGCTGAGAAGTTATGATCAACTTTTAATAGAGAAACTTAATGGGTAAAAGATCGCACTGGAAATTATAGGAGTGTAACTGTTGCCATTTTCATAATAATTGGTTTAGACACAAGAAAAGAAATATTATGAGATGGTTGTTCTCGAATTCGAGCAATCCCTATAGTTTTTTTTTCTATAATGATGAGGAACATCACGGATTGAGGTCCTGATTTTATAGTTTTATTGAATGATTGTCAATTATTTATTATTTTTGTACTCGGAAATGCTGAGTTGTACAGAGAAATTGATAGGAAAGTTTTTCTTTCAAACTGAACGAAGAATCTAAAATTTATTTTGATTCTATGGAAAAGCAGTGGTGTATAATTTTTTCCATAAAAAGATCCGATCACTTAGTGCGGATGCTACTGACAAAACAAAAAAATGAGTTTTTATTGCAAAATATGACGATGTGCAAAAAATTTCCACATTTACATTACAATAAATACATTTAATTTTTTTAAGCCAAGCTTTTGCAGCCAAGCAGTTGTTTAGCAAATTTTGCTTCCAGCGATTTAGAGATTTGAAGTTTATCAATTTTGCTTCTTGTTTTTAAAGGCTTCTTCTTTTATTTTAAAGAAGTTCTGATCAACTTTTATTAGATAAACTTAATGGGTAAAAGATTGCACTAGGAATTATTCTTATTTTTGTCTGCAGCAGAAGTTGAATTATGAAGTTTGACGACTTCTTCACTTAAAAGAGCGAGCCCCGAGCTCTTAAAGGCTTTTAAAATTTGTATGAAACATCAGATTTTTGCGACTTATCGAAAATATTTTTCGAGACGCGCTGCTATTAAACTGGTTCCTAAGATGTACAACCACTTTTCCACAACAAACACCAACTTTTCCGATTTACTCTAGCAATAATGTGGTACTCCTCAGGCTTTCTTTATTAATAGTCTCCAGCAACCAAAAGTGAATTTTGCAATTTTGGTACTTTTTACCCGACGACTTTTTCCCGATTTACTCCCTGTATTTTTATTACCTTTTTGAATCTTTATCGTCGATATGAATACAGCCGTCTTCATAGTCGGACAGAACCGACTGAAGAGGACAACTGGACAGCTTTGCATGCAACCATTCATAATTGAATAAAACGTTCTCATACAAATCGGTAAATCTTCTGGATCTTACTAGGTGATAGGGAAGCTCTCCAAACTGAAACCCAAAGCTTCATTTTCCAAAGTTCAGATTCTGAGAGCTGTTACCTTTCTGAGGTTGTATCTGGACACTTTGCCGTCTTTGGAGTAAAATACCAGAGGCTGAACTGGCACTTTTCGATCAGCTGCCCCTTCTTTATCAGTAAGGTTGAATCTAGAACAATTATTTAATCATTCAATCAATCAAAACTTATGTAAGCCAATACCTGTGTCGTTGAATTTCCGTGTATTTGAACGGTTTAGGGTTGCCGCCTCCCCATATGCCCAGGAAATAATCGGCTATCATTGAGTGGAAATAGGTTGCCATGTTCATGTTTTTGAAATACCTTTCTTTTGCGGTGTCTCTGAATTGCCTACAAACATACATTCGCTAATGTTGTAAACGCTAGAAGGAACAGAGTTTTACCTGTGATACCAGTTCATCACGCTCACCCCATCAGCCTCCCTTTCCGATAGATAGTTTGGGAGATCGTTCCTGATTCGCGTCCATAAGAGGGGTGGAATTCTTCGCACTGGTGGCAAGTGGTATTGGTAAACATCATCCAGGACTTTGTCGTCCAAGGAAATCAGGTCCTCCAGCTCAGATTCGGATAAGCCGCTCTTGGCTGCTGTGATGTAGGCCAAGCCATGGAACACTAGTATTCTCCCATGCTGCAAACAGGATTTTATTGGTGTTTTCTCACACAGCTCTTAGGAATCTATAGGCGTACCTGTTTCTCAATCCTCTCGAATAACATCATGATGGAATCCATGACTGTTGACGCCAAGTGAGTGTCCTGACTCTTCGTGTAGCTTCTCCATCGGCAAATTTCCGCAAACACCAGCTTGACGAAAATTGGAAGACTACATTTGTCTATGGCATTGGACACCAGTCTCCATTGGTAGTTCGTCAGGTCCCGACAAGCAGTCTTCATCCACATCCTCAAATAATTTTATCAATTGCCGAACTCTGTAATCGTCTTGGACCTACTTGATGACTTTCATTGCCAGTTCTTCCCCCAAAGCCTTAACTTCAATGAAATTTTCGTCGACATCAATCATTCGTCGCAGTATGAGGTATTCCTTCGAAGCCTCGGGATTAGACTCTTCAGAAGCACAGGACACAATTATTTTGCAGTGTTTCGGTAGCCGTGTGGGTATCCATGAGACCTAAGAACTGTTAGCGCAAAAACTCGTTTTTATGTTAGTGCGGTTGTTACTTTATTCGCATCGGCTGTTCCAGTAAGCTGATCCACTGAGTCCAGAAACAGTAGCAGCGGTTGTTCTTTTGTTGCCAGGGTTAGCAGTTGCTTGAAATGGGCAGTTAGTGGTACCAGATCGTCTGGGATTGTATCGAAAGGAAACATGAAGTTGTAGGATATCTGGTGGAAATGTTGACTGTCGTATTGCATTTTTTTATTGTTTTGTTTAGGCTATTAAATTATTGTTTCACATCTGAATGATTCGCGATTATAATCGAAATAATTATTGAAAGTTTTGGAACGAACCAAATTTAGACAGTGGTATTTGTTTCCTATTTTGTTAATATCTAAAACGTTGGAGGCCAAAATGAGAAAATTTAGAATACAGCGGATGTTTAGACGAGCCTTTTATGGTGGATATATTTGTAAGTCTTCTAAATAGTAGTAGTACTAAAAAGTTCTTTAAAACCCCTAGAATTAATAAATTAATGAAAACGTGTAGAATTGGAACTTGCCTACACTTCATTTGGTTTTATCCCTAAAAATCTAAATCATACTCTTTAATTGTCATTTATTATATGATTTCTTCAGTTTGGTACAAATTGGAAAAAATTATTTTTTAGGCTGCTGTCTGATTCAAAAGTGGACGGTTTTCGAAACACATGCCGTCAAAGTTAAGATTAAAAAATATTTTTTTATTTGTAATTCTACTACTTTATAAACGAAATCTTATATCGGGGAGTTTTAGGCGCGAGAAATTAGAATCCGGCTTTTACACATTTTTTTATACGCATTCAACCAAAAGCTGTTAAAGATATGCGAATCCTATTTAACGAAGCATATGTTTTGTCGCTCAGCATAACATTTATTTATGAGCAGATTTGTTTTTGTGCACAATTTTTATTAGAAAACCTGTTTAAAGTTCACCGTATTTCTAGTCAAGTAATTATTCGTACAGTTGAATGCCTCGTTAACTAAACTACTCAACAATTCAACGTTACACTCACAAATTTGGACGAACTTTGGAACCGGATAAATTCTGACTGCTGCGAGCGATTTGTTTTCTGTTTAAAGCGTTATTTAGTGCAATTCTTTTTCAATTACTGCCTGATTCTGCAGTAAATCAGTGCGTCAGATAAAGTTTATACAGGGCGGCCAATAAAACAATTGGTGAAAGTTCCACATGTTCTCCGGTGAACAAAAATATTTAATATTTTTTCTTTTGAACCGATTAGCAAAATCTAAGGCTAATGTTGAGCTAAAGCTACGCAGGCTACTTCAGAAAAAAAAGTAATATAGCGGCTTGCATGAGTAAACGAAATGTTTAAAAGTAAATTTCACTTAGTTGAAATCTTCAGAATCACAGATTTCTCGGACGCAATTCTGATTTGAGTAATTTTTATGCACCCCTGTAAATTTCTTCTTAAATTGCCCATGAAGTGAATTAGAACTCATGTGAACTTCAACATGAGCTCTAGATCGTGAAAATCGACCCAAGAGCAGAAAAGTGATCGCTGCAAGACAAAAGTTGATTTTTTGGGACTATCATGTAAATACTTGGTAAATAGGGAAAAAACATTCCCTTCAGATCCAAAAAAACTCTTTTTTGTCCAACTAGGAACATTTTCTTTCTGCAATTTAGCATTTTTTCTGTAGAAAATGTATCTGAAGTGATTAATTTTTACCAAAACATTGACTAATAAAAAAACAAATGGAGCTTAATAACGCTTCCTACAGAAACCAAATCGTTCGAAGCAATCAGAACTTCTTCAGAGATTTTGTTGAGTAGTTTATTTGGAACTGCAATTTTAGCTGTTAAATCGTGCACTTAATAAATAGTTGTTTTTTTTACTGTTATTAAATGTTCGAAGTGGTTCGGGCCCATTTTAACTTTTTACTCCGAATTACTCGTTATAAGTATGTTAAACGGAGCTATTAAACTACAGCTATTTTTCGAATGCCCGATTTGTTAGTTAAAATTGATGTTCAAATAATATGTAAACGTTTAAAAGAGAGTCGTAGGGGTGGTAATTTTCAAAATGCTTCTCCAGATCTTAGCTATTTCTGCAGCTGGTCCCAACCTCATCCACCATACACTTCGTCACTCGCAAACACTTTGGTCTTTCGAGTAACACAAATTCTCCCACATTTTGCTCCTGCGAGCCGAATCATTTTGGTCTTGTGAGACCCACACAATTTAATTGTCAAATAGTCAACGAGGTCTTCAACTGTACGAATAACCACTAGAGGTGCGGTGAACTTTAAGCTTCAATTATCTCAAGATGGAGTGCCTGCACAGACCTCCCTCATGAGAGCGTTTTTTTTTTCAAAACCTGTTTACAAACACTAATTTGGAGATAAATAATTATAATACTGGGTGTCAAAAAATTATGCCATTTTAAAAGGATTCGCATATCTCTGACACCACCCACTTCAATGAGAAAATGTTAACGGATTTTAATTTGTCGCCCCCTAAAACTTCCCGATGCGAGATTTCAATCAGCAAGTAGCGTTACAGACAAATTAAAAAAAGTTCCCGATTTTTTACCTTAACTTCGACGCTCTGTAGTTCAAAAACCGTCCACTTTTGCATTAAGCAAATTAGGCAAAATCATCAAATTTTCACCCCAAGAATTTGTGGTAGAATTTTGGCTTACTTGCTGACATATGGATATTAAAGTGGGAGTCAAAGCGCTGGAATCTGGAGTGGTGCCTAAGAATCGAACGATGCTCATTGGTTTAGCACCGGCAAACCAGGCTTTCGACGTTGATAAACTGGCAGCTTTGGCCAATAGCGATGTTTTACCGCAGCCACCTTCCCCGTATAAAACCAGCAATTTATCGGAGTCGCCCAACATATATTGGTGGATGCGCTCCAAGCTTTCCTCTCTACCGTAGAACACCTGGAAATTTGAAAAAACCATAACAGCTGAGTTTTTTTTATTTAAATGCAATTGGCACCTTCACTGAATTGTTGCAGGCATGCAAATGTTGAAGGATTTCGGTGACGATTTGTCCTTGAGCGCTAGAGTCCTCTTTTCGCATCGCTCTATCCACCAATTTGACGATGTTCTTGTAAAAATGCATTATGAAGTGCTTTAGGTATTCCTCGTGTGTTTCAGGGTCCAATCCTTCTCTACCAATCCATTCCACAGTGTACCTAAATCGCAAATGCAAGTTCAGAATTTTTAGATCAGAACAGGAAAGATTTGTGCCAAATTTCGTTGGAGATAGAGTTTTTGGGCGCTTTATATCGTTATAATAATTATGTTTCTACAAATAGAAAACCCTACTTTTGAAAATTGCTTGTCTCGATTTTGTTGGGCAATCGAACATCGCGTAGATCGCCAAGCAGTTTCGAGGATTCTGTATCCAAACTTCTGTTTATGATGTCGACAAACAGGGATGCTTTTTTCAGGTTTTGCAAATTGATGTTGTTGATCATCCTGATGTAAGCCAAACAGTGATTTTTTGTATTCTTCACGCTCAAAATCCCGTTGATTACTTCCCGCTCAGTCACTAAAATCGATCCAATTATAAATTTCCTTCTTTGCCAGCTTTCTAAGCGGTTTACCCGACATGAAGTAGTTGTGCATAGCATCATTATCCATTTTCCCCTGCTGGTTCAGTGAGGCAGCAGCCTTTCGAAATAATTTTTGGAATTTTGCTAAAGTATCCCACCATTTGGCTTGATCTTCGGCCTGCAGCTTCGGAATTCGCTATTCCCCAAACAGACCTAAGTTAACTGATATAAGGCCGATGTTTTCAAGTTTCTTACTTTGTTGTTGAAATTGATCAAAATGGATGAAATGGGTTGTAGAACAGAAATAGGGGGCACGGCGTTGCTGTCTTTCCGATACCAAGTATCAATTAAAAGAACATCATGTCCAGTGGCATGCAATTCGTCCCTTATCAACTGAAGCTCAGAAGAGAGAATGTATGTAGGTATAGGCCGATAACCGTATTTTTGACCAAGGAATACCTAGAAGGGATTGAAAAATATTAAGTTAATCCTGTTAGAAAACAGATTTAAATCCATACAAATGTAGTCTCTTATTTTTTGTGCCTTGACTATATCATAGAATTATGGTCTAATTACATACCACAAAATTAGGGCCCATGGATAATCGTTGACAATTTTGAATCTCCTTCATGCATAATTCCGTAGTCATGTGATCGTCTGTAGCTTCGTCTCTTACACCCCATCTCATATCTACAACCTGGAAGTAAAAATGCCATCTTCTGACTCTTTCTTCATATTTCTTTATGTAAAACTATTCTGATTTAATTGAAATTTTCATGCTAATGACATGTATTTACACGACTGTTAGATAATTCACACAAAGCGCAAAATAATTAAAAATAAGTTGAGCTAAAAAACTAAGAGAAAAAAGACGCCAAATTCGTTTGTTGGGCTTCAAAGAGCTGCAAAGAATCATAAACTTATAGAACAAAGAATAGTAATTTGTTAAAGAACGCAAGACTTGCCCTTGGAACTGTTAGTGTCGGGGCTCCGGTTGGTACGAAAATTGACCTACAAAATTGGCGAATAATTCTAATAACATGAAATCGATCATTTTCTACGGCACATTCAATGTTAATTCTCACGCTATATGTTTTAGAGTCTACATTGAGTGTAAAGGATAAACTTTAGCGCTTACATGCATGAAACTCACGTGTTTATTGTGCAGGCTGGTTGGACGATTTTTACCATCCAAGTGTAGCAATTGAGTTTTTAATTTAAGGAAAACCGTATATATACATATATGTGAAATTTGGCTTCCATTCGGTCCAAATGTCCGATAAAAATAGGCTTTGAATTTATCAATTTTTATGAAGTTTGTTCAGTCCGGAAATTGATAAAAATGTAACTGAAAATTAAACGTGAGCGCTTACAACTTTTGCCTGAAACTATTTTTTCCACAGTTTTAAAGACTTAAAACAGTGACAATTGATATTACAAAATGTAATATAACTATATATGTTTTTCACTATCTGAAATACATTGAAAATTATTCAAATTCCAGAAGTTTCTATTAAATCATTTATGCGAGTTTGCGGTAGTTTATAACGATGATACAAAATTGTATTCATTGGGTCAGTTTTTGTTCTACTTTGGCTTTAAAAAATGAAGAATAAAAATGAT